TACCGCATGTCGAGACTAGATGAAAATATCTTTACGTGTATCGTCGTTTAAAAATCATCTCAAATATTGAATACAGCGTGAGTTCCATTGTGGCTGCTCAGCGCAGATAACAAAAAGGCGTCAAAACCAATGATATAAATTTAGTTTAAGTACAAAGTACTGCTCCACAGTATTATTTTATAAATTGTTCGTTTTTACAAATTCAGCCTGATAAGCCAAAAGCAACACAATAATAATATTTTCGAAACTTTTGCGACGAGCAAAATGAGAGGAACAAGCATACGATTGTTACGAGTAACAAAGCTTTATTCCACAAGCTACACAGTGAAAATCATTAAAAGATGTCACTCACCAGATGTCTTCGTTGGAAAAGATTGCCCACGTTTTTGGTGTGCTGTCTGCTGGAGTAAATACTCAAACAAAAAGACAAATCAGTTCTGATCCATAAACCTCGCTCTAAAATTTTCTTCAGTTTTGTATATATGTTATCCTATAAATGTTTTATAATACTGAAAGTAGACTGTGTTGTATAAAGGTTATTTGTGATAATGAGGTTTCAAAGGTTTGGCAAATGTTTACGAGATCATTTTAACACTTATTCATGTACTGTTCACAATAGGCCGCGGTGGTTAGGGCACTCCACTCGCAAGTTGTGGATCGTGGGTTTGAATCTCCGCTACCGAACATGCTCGCCCTTTCAGCCGTGGGGGTGTTATAATGTGAGAGTCAATCCCATTATTCGTTCATAAAAGAGTAGCCCAAGAGTTGGTGGTGGGTGGTGTTGCCTAGCTGTCTTTCTGCTAGTCTATCACTTCTAAATTAGGGATGGCTAGTGCAGATAGCCTGGGCCGCGTATTGCTTTGCGCGAAAATTCTAAAGAAACCGGTGGTTACTGATTGGGTTCAAATATTGCATCACATTGATTATTTTGTTCTGTCTGTTACAACACAGTATAACTAACAGAGTAAAAACGTAGATGAAATCCCCGGTTTTCTGTGTAAACCCAAGCAGTAAAATGCGGGATTTTATGCAGTGCAGACAGTATTTTATTTAAATATTTTTGTGACTCATACGTTTAACTGTTTGTTTATTTTGAATTTATGCACAAAGCTACACAATGGACTACCTGTGCTCTGCCCATCACGTGTATAGAAACCCGGTTTCTAGCGTTGTAAGTCCACAGACATGCCGCTGTGCCACTGGGGACGAACCTTTAACTAACAATGTCACGGACTCGCAAGGAATTTGGTGTATAAATAATTAATAAAAGTGTGTTTAAAAAGTTGATGGGGAGAATTCTACATTTACTGGGATAATTATGTGGTGTATAGTATTGTAACTTGTGTGTATTAATAATTGTGTAACCTTTTTTTAGTTATTATATACAATAATATATGGAAGAATGTGCACGTTAATGAAACAATTTCAATGGCAAATTGGTTATTGATTTTTCAGCTAAAATAACATATTAAATGTATATTAAATATTTGGGATGCAAAAATACACATTAACTTATCAATAAAACATAAACATGTGATAAGATTGGCTTTATAAAATGAATAAGTACATAATTAATACGTTTTAGAAGTTAGAGTTTATCACAAATAATTAGTTTTTGTCTCTTCTGCTTATTTTTCTATTTTTGTGCCAATTGCCTTTAATTTACATAAATTTGGAGTTATCGACTTTAGAGATTTATGGATAGCATTACAGCAGTCAGTGAGGAGTATTGGATGTTAAAAATGTCTGTATGGTGTTTGGATTGTAGTTTACTGACAAGAAATAAGTCACATATGTGTTGACAATTAGCGAAAATCAAGAACATTAGGACAGCATGAATCTTATGAAAGCTTTATGGGTAACATAGTCTGTGAAAGTTTTATCAAAGGTGATGGAGTATAGTGTCCTGAAGAACCCCAACATCATATTCTTTACCATACTACTGAAACATTGTTTAGCAAAAAAAAAAAAAAGATTAAATGGATATAGACGGGAATGAATCTTCGACCTTCCGCACACGTAGTGTCTGCTATGCCAATATGTTCAAAACCCAAAGATGTTTTTTTTTATATATATTCAGCGTCTTTAAGTGGAATACTATATATAAGAAAGGTATGTTTTAAATAAATAAATCATTTAAATAAATACTGTTGTTGTATTTAGATTTAAAGTAGAGAAGTGTAAAAACTTGGAATGACCAGAAACGAAATTTTTGTACACAACATTTTTTTTGTGTAAACACCTTGTCTTTATGGACAACCGCCATCTTTAACTAAGATCTTGAGTATTTTTTGTGATCAAATTTTTGATAAAGCGACATTATAAAATAGTGAATTTTTAAAACTATGGTATCAAGGAATGATACAACTGTCGGCATGTTTTTTTTTCGTAAGTTTCTTTTGTGTATATGTGTTTAAATTGCATTTGTATAATATCTAAAACCTGTAATTATTATTATTTTGCGCAATGTGTTAACTGTAGAGCATCGAAAATGAATGATGTTGTGGCAGATACTGTTATGGCTAATTGCTGTAGGTTGTGTAGAGCATAGTTTTCCAATCCAAAAGCTACTACGCCTCGGTAGATCTTTGAAATATTTTACCGCGCACCGGAATATTAGTTGTAAGTATTTTAATATTTTAAAAGAGAGGATGTGATATGTGGGCGTGGCAGGAAAGGTTTGATTTTCTATTCGATTGCTCTTTAGAGTTACACAAATAAGATTGAAGGGTATAAGAATTTTGCGTTGCCTGATCGATGACAACATTATAGAGAATAATTTACGCTAACTTTCGTACTTCTTGGAGGGGTGGTAAATAAATTTGAGAAGAGGGGATGCCTAGAGAAGAAATGCCACAATTCTCACACTAGCGGATATTGAGGTTGTTTTAAAATATTTCATTATAAAATTAAGAACTTAAAACTTGTATAATATTCAAATGTGATTTAATATCTATGTTTTGATGTTAAGATTATTCGTATACCATGATAATTAAGTAGTTTAACTCAATTTTGAACGTATCTCACTAAAATGTAGTGACATGTGCACTTAGACCCGTACGTCGCGAAAGGGTTAACGTTAATGGTTGGAGACAGCTAAAAATGGCGAAAGTTACTGATATTTTTTTTTTCAGTTTTGATTAAATACTTGTACAACATTTCGCGTCCCTTCAAATAATGATCTTCACCCGGCGGTTGGGAAACACTGGTGTAGTAGGTAAACTCGTACTTCGCGTACCAAGCGCATTTAAAATCTAGGCCTAACTGTCGATTTTTAAGCGCCTGTTGGAGTTGGTATTGAAATGTAATGGTATTGCGTTATTTACAAACCACGGAAAGGTAAAAAATCAACTTCACGTGTTTTCTTATGTTACTGAAATACGTGTCTTTAAAGTTAATGTTATAAACGTCGTTGTTTTGCTTTCGTATAGAACAACGCATGTTAAACGTCGTTCACTTTTGCACTTGTATAAACGTAAAAGTACCACTGTACAATTAGCCAATAGGAATATTGGGTTTCCATGTGAGCGAACACGCATACACGCACGAACTGACTGACACACATCGTTCTTGTAATTACACAGAAACACATTCGATAAGTTTTAAACATTATTTCGGGATTCTTGGTTTACTATTTAAGTGTTGTCCAGCTTATTTGTCCTTACTATGCAGAGGGATATGTGGGATTCACTATAAAATTCAGTTATATCTTTGAGGTTTGTCTATAGGTATAGCTAGTGGAATACACGAGTTTCATTTTACAGTTATCTGCTCTGTTGTAAAACTCAATGTTTTCCTTACGGCGTAAAGAATAACTTAATGGCTATGGTTTCCTCTATTTTGTAGGTTAGTCTGTGGATCCATTAAGCTTGAAACAGTACAGCTGCGGTTATCATCACGAGTTCCAAGGTAAGAGTTGGTTTTCAAGTACACACATTGTTCAGTTCTGTTGTGATGGATGGTTGACAGGTTTACTCTTTTTCGTTGTGAAGGTTGGTTGATAGGTTCACTCATTTCTGTTGTGAAGGTTGGTTGATAGGTTTATAAGGTTCTGTTATGAAGACTGGTTGTTACGTTCATAAAGTTCTGTTTGGAAAGTTTGTAGGTAGGTCCATTTTGTTCTACTATGAAAATTAGTTGATAGCTGTTGGCACATAAGGAAGAAATGACAGTTTATTTGGTTTAAGAGCCGGAAAAAGCTCTTGTAGAGCAAGTGCTGCTGACAGACAGCCTTCCTTCAGAGCAACAGTTAAAAATAAAAGACGCTATCTGAGGCTTAAGGGTCGCTAACATGACTTACTAGCCCATGTGCACAAAAACTTCCATTCATATTTAAAATACTAATAGCAACCTTTATACAATACAAATAGTTCTGGACATCGTTGAGTTTAAAGGTCGAATTTAAATACAATGAAACTATTCCTAGCAAACTTGAATCAGATAAAGTTCACATTGAAAACACGAAATGAACATACTAAATAGAAAATAAACGTGTATTCTAGCCTTGGAGAAGGACAAGTTTCATTGCTTCTCACCAAAATATAACAGTTTCTCGTCTAAAGTTAGGCCAGAAGTTTTGTTTGTAGTAAATATGTTTTCTTTGCTTCAATGCCAATAATGAACAATCTTAAAGCATGGAGATAGGTGTCCATTACTACAATAATTGATATAGCAAAGATCAGATTTAATACTTCCCGTATTTGCTGTTTACAAGTTATGCAACTCATATGTTTTTTGTTTTATTTTGTAATTTGTTCAGAAAACGAACCAATGAAAAAGTATGATGCTTAGACACAAGGGTTAAAATAGAATTTACTATCGTTTATTCAAAACAGCTATGTATATACATGTAAATCTTTGTTTATTATTGTGTGTGTGTGTGTGCTTCTTGTGTTTGCTAGTTTAAAACACAGTAAAAGTAATATCAAATTAAAAAAAAACATAATAATGTGTGTGTGTGTGTTTTCTACTAAACACTGGACTATGAAACATGCGTGAACTGTTATTTGGTTGGAAACCATAAATAAAATACACAAGACAATTTCTCGTAAAATCCTTTTCATTTAACTTTTTTAGAGTTTAGAATGATGACCAGATAAGACTGTAAGATGAAATAGGCACTATTATGTCACCACACGTTCATCACGTTATTTACATATTTACAACACATTATTGTAACACATATACATGTCAAACTGTACACCAGCTAACAATACTTATTAATATCTCACTGATCAGGAACATTTACACGAGGTGCTAACAGAGGCATATAGGTTCTACAATGGAGAATGCCAAATCCTTTTTTGTTCCTCTTTTTTTCTTTTTGTAAACTGCGATAAAAAGCCCTCTAGTGAACTGCTGGATTGTGATTCTTGGCACAGTATCCAACCTATCTTGTTCATATATTTTCTTTGATTTTTGCACTGAGCACATATAACGTGTCGTTAAATCACATTAACAACACTTCTGTTCATATAATAAATTGCGTACTAAGAGATATGCATCTAATAAAAACTATTATATCAGTAGTTTATAGAATTTAAACGTACATTCTTTAACATGATGTCATCCACTCATAATCAATTATCACGAGCAAATACATGGAATCGTAAAACTATCTTAGTTTTACAGTTTCCACACCCAAAATGTCTCTAATGTTACTGTCCAGTGGCACCACGTCAACAGCTGTGCTTCTTTCTTTGGCTGCATCTGCTAACAAACTGTCCAATCTCGTGTCTGTCAAAAGTTGAATGCAGGTGGCGCTGGTATCAAATTCATGTTTGGGAATAGAAAGTATCTCGATACAGTTGTGTGTTAACTGAAACTCCTCCTTTGTCATAGAAATATGATTCAGTACATCAGAAAGTCGGAGACAATTACATATCCTATAAGAAGAGGAACACCAGGTCTCCTTAGAGTAGTTGTTTTAAAATTG